TGATTTTATATACATTTTTATATAAAATTTTTCTGATCATTTGAGAATTAGTTATAGACATCCTGCTTTTTACCTTCTAAATATGTCAGCGTGTGCTTCCTAAGAACAAGGACATTTTCTAACATAAAAATGGAATAATGATCAAATTCAGGAAGTTTAACATTTTATCAGATTTGGTGTTTGCTAATGAGTTTGAAATGATGTCCTTTTATTATGAAAATGTTTACATTTTCAGGAAAGTTGAAAAGAATGGTTCTGTGAGCATCTGTGTGCTCTTCTAGATTCAACAAATATTTTGCTATATTTGTTTTTTTGCTGGGTCGTTTGGAAGTTGCAAATGTTATGACATCATCCGTTCAGTACACATCTATTAAAAATAAGCACATTTTCCTACATCACTATGATACCATTATTACACCTAGGAAATTTAACAGTAATTCCTTAGTATCATCTATTATTTAAATCATATTCAGATTACCCCAGTTGTGTGTGCCAAGAATGTCTTTTATAGCTTGTGAGTGTGTGAATGTGTGTGTGTAGAGAGTCCAGTTGGTAGTCCTGTTGAGTGTCCTACACTCTAGATTTGTCTGATTGTGTCCTCTTGGTTTGTTTAACTTGTTCCTATATGCTCTGTGCAAAATACTATCTTGTTTTGACTGCATTTTCCCCTGATGACTGGAGAGGTTAAGCAACTTTCATTTGTTTATTTGCCTTTCAGTTTTCCTCTTCAGTGAATTCCCTATTCATATTCTTTGCCCATTTGTTCTATTGGGTCACATATCTTTTTCTTAATAATTTGTAAGAACTCTTGTTGCATTCTGTTTATTAATTCTCTGTTGGTTATATGTAGAGTCTGCATTTCACACACGCAACCCATATGATTCAGATGCCAGGTGGTCTTTGGGATCCCCCATTGAGAAACTCTTCTATAGAAGTTCTTATCACAGGATCCTCCTCTTTAATCCAGAGTAGTGTCCCCTAATTCTGAAAGATACCAAATAAATAGATGAAAGCTATAATGTTTAATAATAAAACAAAGATGAGCTAGAATGAATCAGAACTGTGGTATGCTGATTATAAATCAATAAAAAATGTTAAGAAAAAAAAAGAACTGTAGTATGCTAATCATTATGTACTTATGTTCTTGTTAGCACTCATTTAAGTTTCTCTGTCATCCTTAATATTAAAGAATGCTATTCCATTTTCTTCTGATGAGTAAACATACTGTGGCTTAGTAGAAAGAGTGTGGGCTTTAGAGTCAGAAATCTCACATTAGCTGCACAGCCCTGTGCTGTTTACTTAGCTGTTCATTTTCCATTTCCTTGTTTATAACATGGGGTTAATTACTGTGAGAATGCGATGAAATAATGAGTGTGAAAACATTTATCCCAATGTCTCATGGAAAATAGCCCTTAAATTTTATCCTGTCTTTTTTTCTTCTTACGTATTCAGACACGTTTGAAGTATCACACAACTGGTTACTTTGGAAAATATGTTGTAGCCTACTGATTTTTCTGATTACCTTTAGTCAGAGTTTTGTTTTGCAACGTGGATTCACACAGCCTGCAGCTTCATCGTACGGCTAATGAAGACTTTCTGTGCCAGGCCAGCGCTGGCTGGACAGCATTTGGTTTA